GTACACTGATGTATGGACCACATCTAACATATATTGCACTATTTATATGACTTAGCAGTCTCTTCCTGGGATGGGTTTCGGATTCCTTGTGGCTATTCTACATGCTCTGGCTTGATTGGGTCAGAGGTGAGTAATTCCATTTATTTTGTGCTTTTCAGGGACCTTCTTGTCATTCTCATTTGGATCCCACTGAGTGACATGTGTTGCCTGGTCAGGTATGGTTTTACAAATTTGCACTAGCTACCAGTAGACTAATAACTAAATTGTTGGTAGCAACAAGCTCTGTTGAGATGGGGTGTTACATAAGATCACCTTGGCATTTTCTATGTGGTGAACAATTGTTTTATATAAAATATAATATACATTGCTGGACTACCACTCATGGACTATCATGAGTAAAGCATAAAGAGACTGCCCATCTCTGCTAACCCCTGGATTGAACAAATCGGGGTTGGTTTTCTTTTGAAAATAGGGAACATGGTTCACATGTTGCACTGTCTCCAGAGCAGTGTTCCTCAGTATTCCTCAATGTGAGCCCCCCCCCTCTTCTAGTGGAGCTAGGGGGTCCTTACAACTCTGTTTCCAGTCACTGGAGTGTTGGACAGAGTGATTTTTGTACTCTTTATTCCACTCAAGGAGAAGAGAACAAAGCTGGATGCCCTCCCACCCATAACTCTAGATGGTTTACCTAGATGTCTGATGAGGAGTCAGACCAGCCTATGCAGAAGCCTTCTTGTAATTCCGGTTCAGAGATGACACTTCGCTATCTGGTTGTGTGAGCATGGCCCTTTGTTTTGGTCATTTTGTTAATCATGGAAGAGGGTCTTTGACTCCTTATAATTCTGCACCTGGAGCATAATATCAGTGAGTCATTGGTTGAACTTCATTTGTTCCACATCCTTTCTGTAATTCTGGGAGCAGGGGGTGTTGCCTCATCTTCCAGGTTGATGACTTAGATTTGGGTTTGTGATCCCAGGCTGAATGATATCTTTTTCAGGTTCAGTGAGGCATGTATTGGCTCCATAATTCTGTGTTTGGTTTAGTGCATTTTGTGCTTCTTCAGGTTGGGGGAACTTGTCTAGTTGGGTATTGTTAGTATTCCTTTCATGGACTTATAATTCTGAATTCGGTTTGTTGCATCTTGTGCTTCTTCAGATTGGAGTGAGGGTTTGTCTACGTTGGTGTTGCTTGCCTTCGCTTCTTAATTCCAGTGGCTTGTCATGCAATTTTCTGTAACTTTCAGGTTGGGCTATCTTTATATTGTATTCTTATTATACAATTATATCATAATGCAGTCCCCATGCTCTGGTCACTACACCTTGTATTTAGCTTTGCATCCACAGCCCCATAAATCCAATGATGAAATGTGGAACCTCGTCTATATGGTTAGGGCCTGGATGAATCTTGTAATCATGAACAATATTTACTGTAGCTGGTTTGCCTTTATCACCCACATTGAGATTTGACTTTCTCTGGTGAAGAGCATACCTGTTCCAAAAGTAGTATAGACCCTCACTAGTGTGCTTTATTATATTATAATTTTATGCACCTGTTTTTTCTAAGCAGACCCTTTCTATGTGGATCTTGCCCTTACCAGCCCTTCCACCTTGTCAATGTCGGATTCTAGCTAAAGTGTGAGAGGAAGTAAATGTGTTTTGGAAGTTTACATTTTCCAATACTGAAAATGTATTTCCGATAATACTTGCCTCCATTCACACTATCCCGCTCTTCCTCCCCATGATAGCAGGTGTTCAGTTTGAGAATCTTGCCAGTCTCAAAAAAGTGAATAAGAAAAAATAACAGGGAGTGTATATATATGGATATTAGGTAAGCGCATTGACATAGATGGAGAGAGTCACAAGATTATTATTGCTGAAGCAAGTGAGGTAGAATTCATACCAATACTTAGATGGGCCAAAAAAAAAAAAACTTTCATTGGGATAAAACTAAAGTGTGAGCAGTAGTAAGTATTATCAGAAATATACTTTCAGTATTGAAAAATGTAAACTTCTTTTTGAAAATGTAGTGTTACAAAATTTATTAATTGAAGGGCTATGTGGTACCATGTTGCAATAACAATGAACTTAAATGAGTAAGTATATTTTTATATGATCTCGAACATTGATTTTCTAAGTGTAAGTTTGATTTATATTGAAGTAAATTAATTTTGTAATTGGTATTTGTAAAATATGTTTTTTTATGATGTTAATAGTTATTATCACAGTCTGCTAATATTAAGCAGTTTTAGTAGGTAGTCATTGTTCAGTATATTACCAAAGCATTGGGAAAGCACACTTTGAGAATTAGGGTGTTGTGGTTTGCTGTTGGGGTCTCATTTTAATAGGAAGAGTGCCTGCTTTTGACATTACTTACAGATTGGGCTATTTTATCTCGGTTGTTGGCACATATATGGCACAATAGACCATCACTTTTCTTGTACAACAGCTCCACCTTAGATAACAATTCAGAATGGCTCAGTTAATTTTATGTTGAGGCTTTGGACTTGCCAAAGAAAATTCTGTATGTTAGTTGTTTCAAACCATAGCTGGACATTATGTGCAGTATGTAATGGTGCTACACCATATTAAGAAGGTTTTAATCTTTTCCTATAAAAGTCTGTCAATGAAGGATGTGCAACATTGTACATAATGGTACAGTGTGATAAGAATCACTTCAACTCAACAAGTGGACCATCTTGTATATTTTGCGAACTGTGGTGTCCGTCTTCTGTTTGTGGCAGCTGCTTACCTGTGCAGCATTTGAAAAGCTCAAAATTCACGTTTGAAATGATGGGAGAACAGAGTAATGTTGATGTCAAATCTTATTTCGCAAGCAGGATATTCTATACTAAACTGTTAGGAATTAATCACCCTATCATTCACATTTCAAAATATGACGTAACTTAAAGAACAAAAATGTCGATTTGTCATATGTTATTGGTGAGCAGCTCTTAGCAGGACTGAAATACTCAACAATTACTTTTCGTAGTGGGCAGTATAAATAGCTCAGAGCTTTGGCTCTTAGTGAAATCAAGAGTGAAACACAGTTAATTTTTTTTAAAGTCCATGAAAAAATTGAAATTGATAGCTTAATCTAAACTTTTCCTATCACTGGGGGAATGGGAATTTTTGCTTGTGCTTGATATTTTTGTGAATTTTAGTTTTTATAGAGCTGTTTGATTGAGGATTTTGCTAATTAGCTAATCTTTGTGCTTAATCAGTAACATTTGACTAATCAATGATTTTGTCACAAGATGGCTCAAAACAAAGTTATAGTACTAAAAATTGGTTTTGTTACCTGTGGTGAGTAAAGCACAGACAGTCCATTGTGTATTTTGTGTTTATCAACAACAAAACATAATGGCAATATTTTGATTTCATAGATAGTTGGAATAATCTAACATAGTAATAATTGCAAATCCTAATTTTGATAAGTTGACTATTTTCATCAGCTGTGACATTAATTGCTTGAGTTCAACAAACTTGAATTAATCAAAAATAATTTAGAAACAAATCATGCAGCAGTTTGACTGCTAGATAGTTGGAATAATCAAAAAGGCTACTTTTCATTAGTCGATTATTTTAGTGACATTCATTGATTTCATCATAATTTCAGTTACTGGATAAGTGGAATAACCAGAAGTACTGCTTTCTATTAGTTGAATTATTTTATACAGCACTAATCTTACCATAATGGATGTAGTGTGTATACAAGTTTCTATGTACTTGCCCAAAATAATAAATACAATATGGCATCATCTATTGAACGACATCACAAACATAACTCTTTTAAAATATTTCACACTTTGAGTATTCAAGATTCAGATAGAAAAATAACTATGGTATGTGCAACAACCATTTCTTTATCACAGAATACAATTTTAAATAAAAGTACTTTTCTCACAGCAAGAACACGACTTTCACGTTATGGTTTGGTAATATTTTTAATTTATGTAATTTGTAAATATATTACAAAAAATGGAGTTCTTAAAATTTTATTTATTTCAATGAAGGGTACCATTTTTAATATGTAAAGTCATTACAGTTTATATCAGCACAATCCAAATACTTTTCCTGTGCAGTACTTCCCAGAAAAATCCTTTTGTAGAAAATGTTCACTTTTTTCTAAATTTTCTTTCAATGAGGTATGAATACTATGATTAGTAATCACTAGCAAAAAACAGCTTTCCGTAGGGTGGTGTTTCTACTGATAGATGGTCAAATTATACTTTGTTATATTATTAGGAAATGAAAAATTTTGGTATCCTATGCTAATTTTTAAGGCCTTTTTGGCTCTTTAAAGTGAGGGGGGGAATGGAAAATATTTTAATATTATATTATATAGCAACTTAGTTTCACCAGAATATAAAATATTTCATAGTGTTCAAGTAATATCAGCTTCTTTACATAACTTTTCATGCATGTATCCAGTAAGTGAGAAGAACAGAAAAAAAATAATTTTCAGAAATAACCATTCAAATATGATGCAATCTTCAGAATCCATTTTTCTCTATAATTACTCTATATAGAATACTCAAGTTTTTAAACTTAGTCATTTTTTTACGATTGAAATTAATAGACAAAAACAGAGTAAATAATTATATATTTAAGTAAAAATTCACTACACTGTAAACCTAACTAATGTATATCTATCATTTTGTAAAATAACATTCTTTTATTTCCATTCCAAATAGGAGATCTGGTTATTTGAAAATGGGTAATTTTCATATGACTTTAATTAATAATTGAATGTAGATTTATTTGTTTTTTAGGTCCTGATGTACAGTGTATCTATAAGAGGTGACTGCAAGAAAATGCTTGCTTTACAAGGGGCTAGTGGAGCCATTTAAGTTAGGATAACTTAAATTTGCAAATGCTTTTCTTTTCCTTTGGTTAGACAACAAAAATAGCTGATTTTGAAATTATGTTTTTTCTATTTGTTAATGTATAACATTATTTATGTGTAAAATCATTTGAAGTTCATAAATTTTATTATTTCAGATGTACGAGATGTGTCTGTTAGATTATGACATCAGTATCCTTGACAGTGCTTTTCTTGTACATGCTCCTGGAATAAAGACTATTAAGAACATGGATCAAAAACAGCGACTTCCACACATTCGAAAAAATAATGCTATCCATAAAGAAATATTAAAGGACTTGAAAAAGAAGTATGGAAGCAATCCAAAATGTTAAAATAGGTGTTGACTTTTGAAATGTTTTTTTTATTTTAAACCATGTGTTTGTTTTTGAGCTTCTTTTTTAATAAAATTAATGACTGACAAGCAATAGAATCATTGAAGCTTTTTAAATATGACTCTATGCTGAAAGATTGATTTGTGTTTTTAAGAATTCAAAACAGTGAATACTGTTTCCAATACAGCACAGTGCTGCCCTCTATATACAAAAACATGCAACAATCGTTGAACTTCCACATACCTCACGATCTACATGATTCAACTATGTCTTGGATGTAAATCATCATGCGACAGCCCTCCACCAATAAGAGTGTGACATGCCCTTCTGATGAATGTGAATCCCTCTATTCGATTCTGCCGAACTATCACTTTTCATTAGGCAGTGATAAAGTGCAGACGGTTTCCATTTGTGCTCTTTTCACATGTTGATTTTCTTTTTTGTGCATGTGAAGTAGTGATTTACTTGATTTATTTACGTGCTACAGTAAGTTGTTCTGTAGTAGTTTGCCACAATAACTTACCTTAATTTATTGATTTTTTCTCATTTTCAACTTCTGAAAGTATTCCTGCTACTTCAAAATGCAAAGTACAGTATTTGTATTAGCCATATGATCTTCTATAGATCCATGTGTCATGTTTGGTTTACACTTGTATTTAAAACTAACATTATTAATATAAAATAAAAACTGAATAGATGTTTTAACTGCCAAAGTAACAAGTTTTGTGATAACCCTGTATTTTATAGAACCTACTTCAGTCCTGAAAAAAATGAAAATGTGTGTTTGCCTGTCTATATGTGAGCCTCCTGATTTCAAAGTTTTAATGTTTCATTACGCAACTTATTTGTAACTTTTGATGTGGGTTTCTTTATACTTATTCATGGGTGGTAGAGTACTAATGATCCTGTTTAATTAAAAAATAACACTGCAGCCTAAAATCACAAGAACATTGGATTTCTCTTTTGTTGCTTAGCACTTATTTGCCTATGGTAGACCTGTAAGCAAGTTGTATTTCAAATTATGAAATATTTTGCTGCTAACTTCACTAAGTAGCACAGATAGCCCATTGTGTAGCTTTGTGCTTAACTTAAAAACAAAACTTCACTAAGTCAAATATTTATACTTAAATTTCAACTTCAATAAAAATATGGCTGTTCAATAAATATGTGGCTGCTTGCATAACATTCCTCATGATACTTAAGAAATCTTTTTACAAAAGCCAGGAAAAAGATTTTAAGATATTATTAACCCTCAAACACACAAAACATTTTATATACAAATTTAGCAAACTTATTTACAGTAGTGTACTTTAATTCACACTATTCACAGTGCTTGGTTATATATACAAGCTATACATATACTATACTGCAGACTCCAGTAGCTTGTGACATACAAAATAGAGACTTTCAGGGTAAGAGTTAATAAAAAAAGGCTGTAATTATCTTGTATAAATGAAATTTAATTTAGTCTGTGAGGAGCCAGTGAGGATTGTTTTTTATTCAGAATCATCCTAGTAGTGGAAAACATATTTCTAACAGCAACACTTGCAGTTGGAAAGTACTGGAAAGCCACTTGTTCATTATGAGGAAAATTCATGTGGTTTTGCTTCCAAAATATCGGTGGATTGTCTACATTTTCAGTCTGTGCTGCTCTAGTAGATAAGTACTCTGACACTTCATCCTGTAGAAGTGCGGAGATTCACTAGAAGAAATTTTTTTTGATGCCTTCAAACAATCAAGCAGTTTGCATTTCTTGCTTTGTACTTTGTACAGATTCTGGTGCAGAAGCATACATAAACCCCACAAAATCCCATCCTGTGTCTGAAGGCTCTGCAGTGGCATCAGCTGCACAGCTTGCACTACTAGTGCTACTAGGAGTTCCAGTTATATTTTCAGACTCAAACTTTTTTCTTGAAAAGAAGGTTGCCCTCATATGCTAACACCTTGTCATTTTGGCTTCATCTGGTAGGCCTATGTTCTCAACTTTCATTGCAGGATCAAGCAAAGCTGTAATCCCTACTGCTTCCTTATTAGGAATTATTTTCTTCCAAATTTTTTTTCACTTCCTTGATGGCCAGATGGTCATTCTTGTTTTCATTTGTTACTAAGTTCTGAATTTGTTCTTTTATCATGACAGGGAGACCCAGGTTTGGCTGACAACCACTGACCAATTCAGTAAACTTCTTGAAAGGTATAAGGAAGTTGTGCAAGTCTTTCAACAAATCTTTGTCAGTTCCTGTCATGACAAGTTCTCTGTGGCCACTGCATTTTAAAGCTTCATTTACTTCTTTGAAAGGATCAAGGATGCTGCAGATCATGGTATAATAGCTGTTCCATGAGTTAACATCTATAACAGCTGAGTTAGATTTTTTTTTCAAAGTTTTATGAGTTGCAGTTCTTTCTGTTTCCTGTGTGTCAATTTCCTCTGTGACAGTACTATCAGTTGCATCTCCATTGAGGGCTGGATATTGTTCATTGAGTGTCTGCTTCTTCTGAACATGTGAAATCTGTTCCACTACTTATCCATAGTTAGTATTTTCTGTTTCCTCCTGGATTATATGTCCTTTAAAGTGCAAATTGTTCACAATTTACTTGCAGTGAAGTAAGATGTCCTGAATGTACTTGATCCAGTGAATCCATCATTAGTAACAAATGCATGGTGTGTGCCACACAGAGATGAAATTGTTGAACTCTTAGGAGAGTACTTACCTTCCATACATTTTGAGCACCATCATATGTTAAAAACAATTTGACTTTTTGGCTAAGAAAAAACTGTTAAGTTCACTAGAAATGTGGTCTGTGATACCTTGACCCATGTGGTGAAGCAACACTTTACAAGATATTGTAACTGTTCTGCTAACCCAGTCTTTGGTTATGTATGAAAGCCTTAATCCAATCTAGGGATATGCTTTGTAGCAATCTGTCTAGCCATCAAACATGATGCTGTTAGTGTTTACGGTTTCCAATTAAGTGACAAGTTTTGATTTCACAGCTTCATAAATGTCCATCAGTGCTGTTGTTTTTAAAGTGGCAGGGCTTGGCACCAGTGTCACCTCTAGGCTGCATGGTTGCACAATAACCAATCAATTGTCACGTATTTCACTATTCCAGCCTCGCACATTCTTAATAATGGTGAGAAATCTCAACGTGTTCACGGCCTTAATGGCCCTGGCAGTTGATAGGCCTAAAGCCCAAATACCCAACTGGTACCATTGCAAAGCAGCCTAATGATCCAATAGGATCGATGGTCTAAAAACACCATCACCTACACTTATTAACTTC